GCATATTAACCTTCTTTTGAACTCACTAAGTGTGTTTATATTGCAATTGTACTGTGAAGATTTACTGCATGGTTTCTGCATTATTTATTGAGATTTGTTGTTATTTGCCATAAGTTTCCTATTTACAGAGATCCAAAGGCAAACCTACCACATTTTTTTTTCTTGGCAAGATTTCATTGTGGGTTTGCCTATGTCTTCCCCTAAGGCTGAGAGTGTGTGACTTGCCAAAGGTCACTCAGTGAGTTTTCATAGCCAAGTGGAGATTTGAACACTGGTTTCCAGAGTCATAGTTCAACACTCAAACCATTACATCACCCCGTATATGAATTACCCAGAAACCAGAAATGTGCTATTCAGTTGCTATATATTGTGAAGTCGAGGGCTGTCACGACTGACATCCATAGGCTTTTGTGGGTTTTTCGGGCTGTGAGGCCATGTTCTAGAATAATGTATTTCTGACGTTTTGCCTGCATCTGTGGCTAGCATCTTTAGAGAATGAAGATGGCAGCCACAAATGCAGGCAAAATGTCAGGAATACATTCTTCTAGAACATGGCCTCCCAGCCTGGAAAACCCACAAAACCTATTGCTATATATTGTTACTTTTCTTTGGTTTTTGAGGTGTGTGTGCTTTTTGCATACTCCCAGTTCATTTAGACAAATGGATTTGTTCAAGAGGCTAATTAAGATATACCTTAAGTTGAAAATGGTTGTTTTGCAAAATAGTATATGGCATAAAAATAAAATAGTTCCATGGGATTTCCCCATGCCCTCCGCAGGAACACAGTCTTCAGGGTAGAAATCCAAATTGAATGGACTAAGTCCTAAGCTGCAGCTACCAGGCACTACCAGTGAGAAATGAAAGCAAACCTGTCTATCATGTTTGTTTAATCTAATTTTGCAAAATAGGACAGCCTTCATGCTGAGTGTTAACAATTTAATTCAGATGAGTCATATCCGCTTTCTGTTGTGGACATGTAATTGCAATTTAGACTAATGTAATTACTGGTTAGGTAGTTTTTGTCTAGTAGCATATAAGTGCATGTTTTCTATGATGGCAGTTATACAGGTGTTTCTCTTGCACAGAATTTATGTTTCATACTAACAAATTTTTATCTCCAATATTTGAAGCTACTGAAACCCCCAAGTTGAATCTAGCCCCTTAAGCACCACCATTTGTCTCAGTCGATATCCCTAGAGCAGAAGTGGATGTATACCACCATTTGTATGATGGGACTTGACAGCAAACTGTTCTTAAGCATGTTTATTGAAAATGGGCCTTTGCCTCATCACCTCAAATTTGCTTGTCAAAATGTCTCTGCTCCAAGAGAAGTAAGCTGTAGAGAAGACAAAGCTGTTAAACACATGTTGTGTCTGATGTACATCATGGTTAAGCATTTTTTGGAGAGCAGAGACTGAATCCTGCCTGCCCTCTGAGGATGAAACCCAACTATGCCTCTAAAATTGGGTGGTGTAATTGCAGGGGGGAAACAGTACTATCTGCCTTCATGACTTGTTCTTTACTTAATTACCACTACTTTTCAAGTTTTGGTGGCGGTAGAAGCTTTAGATGGGAGGGTGTAAGCAGCCAATGTTGTTGTGTACCTTTAAGGCATTACTGGCTTATGGAGACCCTAAAGGTTTTCTGGAGCTGAGTGTGTGTGACTCGCCCAAGATCACGCAGTGGGTTTCCATGGCTGAGTGGGGAATCAAATTTTGATCTCCATAGTTACAGTTCAGTGCTCAAACCCCTACACCACACTGGCACATCTTTGATATATATAGTTTGAAGTGAAATATCCAACCACTTTATCTCATCAGGGTCAAACTGCACACACCAATCACAGTCCGCACACTGAACCATGGAACTGTCCTAATCAGATTGAAATGGGTGAAGGTCAAATGCAAAAGCAATAAGAATACTTGGGTGCATAATTCAGAACCTGCTCACCTCCCTGAAGTTAGTTGCTCTTGCCAAGCTCTTTCCTCCAGCCTGGAGGAAACATATCTCACTGATTTCAGAGCATAGATAACAATTTTTTTAAAAAATTGGGGCAGGGGAAAACAGCAATGGGGAGGAAATAAGCAGATGTGGTGGAGTTTCTGTATTTCTTTCCCATCTTCCTTCCTTATTGGAGATGAACCATGTTTAAATACACAGAAGTGCTGTCTTCATGTCTGGCTTGACCTTAAGTCAGCTCTCCTTTTGCACTGGATAATAGAGCTTTATTATTTACCACTTGCCTCTTTTAAAGAGATTTTGAAAAGAGATATGAAAATAATGAGTCCAGTAGCTTATAAATATTGATACAAAAACACAGGTCTGGAGTCCTCTTTGAAATCTAGCAATGTGAGCTGGCATGATCCCAGCTGCAGTAGCATCTACTTAAGAATGGCTGGCCCAAAAGTGCTAGGGGAGTCTGTCAATTAGATTTTGATCAAGCTCTTCCTGCCACTTTGCAAAACAAGCTTGTGAGTGGGTTCCAGAAGGTTTACTTTATAATGCAAATGCTTCTGCTTCAACTATTGTCATAACATGACCTGCTAGAGGACTATAAACCATTTAAAAGGGTTTCTCCTTCTCTGTCACCTTTTCTTGCAGTTCTTGACATTTTTAATAAATGTATTATTCTTGTGTGCCTTTAACTTGTTTTCAACTTATGGCAACCCTAAAGAATCTATCATGGGTTTTCTTGGTTGTTTGTTCAGAGGGTATGACTTTCAGCCTCTGGTTTTCCATGGCCAAGTGAGGATTCGAATCCTTGTCTCCAGAGTTGTAATGCTCAAACCACTACACCACACTGGTTCTAATATAAATGTATACTAGCTGCCTACATTCTCTAAAGGTACCAGATCCCTATCTGATTTTGGAAGCAAAGCAGGGTCAGCCCTGTTAGTACTTGGCGTGGAGACCACCAGGGAATGCCAGATGATGTAGGCTATATTTCTGAGGAAAGAACTGGCAAAACCACTTCTTAGGCAAAACCACCTTTGCCTAAGAAAACTGTATGAATTGATGGGGTTGCCATAAGTTGAGAAATGATCCGAAGACACATACACACACAACATAGAGACAATCAGTTTGATTCAGGAGAATTTAGCAGACAGAAGGTTAAACAGTGCAGTCCTGTTCAAGTCTACTTTATAATTAAGCCCTCTTGCATTGAGTGGGATTTGCACCCTATCAAATGTGCATAGGATTATTGTTTTTAAATTTACAATATGAAACTGAGGTACTTCAAATGGCTTATGTTTTGCTCTGGAAGTGCATGCACATTTTAAGAAAGAACTGTCAAGAAAAAAATCCATATTAGAAAACAGAAGAATAGTCTAATATAATAATTATAGACAAGAGAGTATGATAATAGTCATTACATAATGGTAGGAGTTCATCCTGCTGGGAGGACATGAAAAGAGCAATAAAAATGGAAGTAAGGAAGGTGTGACATTACAAAGAGTATGCCACAAGAAGATTAGAGGAAATAATGAATGGAGGAGAGATAGGCAAACTAGATGATTATGCATATCTGGCGTTAGTCTAGACAGCTGTACAGCAGTGGCCCTATGTGTTGTGTGACACAGGAAAGGTCTTGAGCACCCCTAAAAGTTTATTAACTCTTCTGAACAGAATTCTGCTCATAGGAAGCAAAGCATACTATGGGGAGCCGTTTTGTAATAATAATAATAATAATAATAATAATAATAATAATAAGGAAGTAGAGAAGAAGTCAGGTGGACAAAAATAACTTATCTAATGCAAAGAGTTGTATACAAGTCTGCTGAGAATTAAATAGATTGTTAGCCACTCTTCTTTTTTTTTTAAATAAAAATCAGAGTTTAAAGCTGCATAGCATGGAAACATCTTAAATATTTTCATTCATTTTCTTTATATCCTGCTTTTCTCTCATTTGGCACCAATTTAAGAGGCATAATCTCTTCCTAAATGGTAACTGTGCATGAAAATTTAATACAGTTCTGACAGGGAAAAGTTATAGCTGTTTCAATTTCCAGTGACAATCAGTGGAAGGCAGGAAGATTTGACTTTGGTCTGAGATTCCAATTCAAATTACAATGGGCAGCTTTCAAATCAATTTAGGCCAATTTTTTGAATCACTGAAGTGTGCTAGTCTTGGAGTTGGTACATACATAATATTTAAGGCTTTCATGCTCACAAACATTTGATATTAACCCACCAAGAAAAGCAAAGGTCAACATTAACATTTTTAATATTATCCATAAGCCGTATCGGGGGCAGTCAGTGGAACTGGTTCTTTCAGATTTGGCTTATATACCTTTAAAGAAAAGAGAGTATTAAAACATAGAATGTTGTGTTCTCTTCATTGAGAATGATCAACAGTTCTTTGTTTGCCCATGGAAATGACCCTGTACCTCTCATTTAGAAGTTAAACTATCTCATATGAGATACATTCCTTAATTAATGCATTTTTGTAGAAAGAAAATATACATACTGTCAAAAACCAAAACAAGCAATCCATCAAAACTTTTAAGACATCAGGGAACACTTACTTCTGTTTGTATGCAGTTTTCATATGTCGTTTTTGTTTTAAAAAGACTGTTCAACCTTTTAGAATAGAAGCAAACTATTCTTTTCCTAAACATTTTCAACCACAGATTACTTCCATAATAGTACTGTTTAGTTTTGTGAAGTTATTTAAAAATGTCTGTACCCCACTTTTCTTTAAAAGTTCAAGATAGCTCACAAAGTCATACAGTAAAAGCAAGCAAAAAAAGGCAACTTTTAAAGCTATACAGTAGCCTTACTTTTTCCATAAATAGATGAAAATAGAATTAAAATGGGTGCAGAGCATTTTATTATTATTTTGATATCACTGTGTGCCTTCAAGTAATTTTTGACTTATGGCAACACTAAGGCAAACTGAACCTATCATCGGGTTTTCCTGGCAAGATTTATTCAGAGAGTGGTTTGCCTTTACTTTCTTGTGAAAACACCAGAGAGTGTGACTTGCCCAGGGGTTTCCATGGCCGAACAGGGAATTGAACCCTGGTCTCCAGAGTCATAGTCCAATACTCAAACCACTGTACTACACTATAATTATGTTATATAAGCAATCATAGAACACTTGTCTTTACAGTCTAAGCATAAAGTCAGACAAATGGTTTTCATCAATTTACCTGTAGTACTTATATCCAAATAGCATCATGTTGTTGTTGTTCTTGTTGTTGTGTGCCTTCAAGCCATCTCTGACTTATGGTGACTCAAAAGTGACTCTGTAATAGGGTTTTCTAGGCAGGATTTGTTCAGAGGAGGTTTGCCAATGCCTTCCCTTGAGGCTGAGAGCATGTGACTTGCCCAGGGTCACCCAGTGGGCTTCATGGCCAAGCTAGGAATTAAACCCTGGTCTCCAGAGTCACAGTCCAACACTCAAATCACTATGGCATTCTTGACTCTCATTTCCAGATGTTGTAGAACTCATCCTGCCTGACCATTAGCTCTGCTAGATAGGAGTGATGGGAGCTGAAACTCAATAAAGGGCCACTGGTTCCCCACTCTTGGCATAAGCAACAAATTGTTCAGTGTATTATGGAAGGCTTATTCAATATATTATTCAATATACAGTCATCCCTCCATATGCACGGATTCTTTATCCACAGATTCAAACATCCAGTGTTTGAAAATAGTAAAAACAAATATAAATTCCAAAAAGCAAACTTTGATTTTGTTATTTTATATATGGGGCATCATTTTACTGTCCACTGTATTTAATGGGACTTGAACATCCACAGATTTTGGTATCCATGGGAAGTCCTGGAACCAAACCCCAGCGGATACCAAGGATTCACTGTATATTGCAACACTTACTGATCTACTGGGTCAGAGTAGTGTAGGTATGACATTACAGGTAAGCAATATTTTGTGAAGCAAAGCACAACATAGAATGTTGTTGGTTTTGATGTTCAAGCAGTTTTTGGTTAAAAATACAAGCATTTAGAAATTTATTTTAAAAATTGTATATATATTAGGTCAAAACATAATCTTTTCTCTTTTGTTGTTTCCTTCTCTCTCTTCCCCCTTTAATATTACATAAGATTTTTAAAAAATTGGACTGGCAATTAGTGTGAAACACGTAATTGAAGAACCTGTCTTCAGGTTACAAAAACTGACTAGTTGGGGTTGCTGTGACCACAAGAGAAAGGAGACAACCAAAAAAACCAGTGGCTGAGAATCCAAACCCATTTCAAAAGAAAGGAACAAGAAAGAAATGACTAATTAAAGAGTTAGTAGTTTGGGAAACACCTCAGTAATGTTTTTTTGTATTTCGTAATTGACAGAAGGTCTTCAAAAAGGGATGGCCTTGACCTCATCCAGCTTGTTGTATTCATATTATGTTTATAAAGAAGATTTGCTAAATTTTCATCCTCAACTAGAATAGTGTCTGAACATGTTGCAACATCCTGTCCAATAAATCCCTGTCAGCCTCGCAAGATTTTTCATGTTTGCAGAGTAATTTTTGTGAGCAGCAGTCTTGGGGGGGGGGGGGGTTGGGCAAAAACAAGTATTTCAGAAAGAAATTCTAGGCAGTTTTCTGAAGAAAATCCCAACATGTGAAAAACAAACAGAAATTCTTATAATCTTAGATAGCAGGAAGAAAACTTTTGAAGAACAAAATACCTAAGCGAAGCTTGACGTGATGTAATGCATGTATATGGGAGCAGTGCTGAAATTAAGAGACTTTGGCAAGCAGTATCATCATACAGAGTGCAGATTCCAAAGGGACCACTAATGCTATTATTAAACTATTTGGATGAATATAGTTTATGTGGAGATGATAAAAAATGTATTAACAGTTGCTAAAATGTCTGGGGGAAAAACACAGTTGTGCCCAGCTCTGTAGCATTTTGCATATATCTACTGTATAAAACTTGAAAGCCAGCATGGTATAGTGCAGGGGTAGGCAACCTTTTTGAGCCGGGGGCCAGGTTACTGTCCCTCAGACAATTGGGGGGCCCGAAGCACCAATAAATAAATAAATAAAAATTAAATAACAATTAAAATTAAAAAAAATGCATACACACTCTCTCAGCTCCAGAAAAGTCATGGCAAGACCCCTGTGGAGATTTTGCCAAGAAAAACCCCAAGAACAAGTAATAACAATAATCAGTATCATCATGGCTGGTGCTGGCGCCAGCAGGACCGGCCTGGGGCCAGTTCAAAGGCCTCAGGGGGCCGCATCCAGCCCCCGGGCCTTACATTGCCTACCCCTGGTATAGTGCTTTGAACGTTGGTCTACAATTCTGGAGGTCAAGGTTCAAATCCCCACTCAACCATGGAAATCCATGGGGTGATCTTGAGTGAGTGATACACTCTGAGCCTCTCAGGAAGGCAAAGGCAAACCTCCTCAACAAATTTTGCCAGGAAACCCTTGTGTTAGTTTTGGCTTAGGGTTGCCATAAGTCAGAGGTGACTTGAAGACACAAAAAGTGTAATGGTTAAACTTACATATTTTATTCCTGACATAAAAGTATAAGAAAATTAGTTTATTAGAAAATCACCAATGTTTGGAATGTCTAGTTTGAATATTATGTTTGTCTTACTCCTTGATGACAACAGCATAAGGAAGCAGTTTCCTCTGCATTTTCCTTTCTGTATGCTTAATGAAGAAAAAAAAAGATGGTAATACAACACAGAAGGCATGAGAATGCAGTTATTGGCAGTGATCCTAAGTCACTCGAGGCATCAGAAACCTGGCATATCAGGACTGAACAGCATGCAGAAGCAACTCAACATGCCATGGACTTCTCTCTGGTTTGTTTATCATGATGTCTGAATTGAGGATTCTGGCTTGTCTCTCCTCAAACAAGCCAGAACTATAAGCAAAGAAGAAACTATGTCTTATGATTCTCACTTACTTGAATGAAAAACAAGTCACCACTCTCAGTTCAGACATCATGATAAGCAATTTAGAGATGGTGTTGGTATTTTGTTTTAGCTACTTTAACTGCAAGTTGGGGCCAAGTGGGAGAGATGATGAATGTTTGTGAGCTTGCTTTCTTGCTTGCTTGAACTGGATAAACCAGGCTTCTCTAGCACTTTGGTTATTATCCAGACCAGGGGTAGGCAACCTTTTTTCCCTTTAAGGGCTGAGGGACTTCAGCTCCTAGAAGCCTCAGCCATGTTGGCCAATAGTCCCATGTTGGCCAATAGCTCTTGGGATTCTGGGAGCTGAAGTCCCTCGGCTCTTAAAGGGGACAGGTTGCCTACCCCTGTCACAGACTATCTGTTGTCTTGATTTATCTGTAAAAAATCAGTTAGTGGATGATAGCTAGTGTAGAAGCAAGCCTGGATAGAGATAAGAGCTTGGATTGAGGCTAATGAGATGTAAGCATTGGTAAAATCTGACATGGCTTAGCTTGGGAACTTTAATTGGTTGACATAAAGGTTTTACCTTCACAAAGAAATTACCAAGAAATCTAAATCAGTTTCTATATGTCTATGATTAGGGAGAACACCTTCCAGGTTTTGGGGAGGATTTCAATACATTATCTAGACTGGTCCGATACTACATACCAATAAATTATTTCTGAAAGCAACAGTAGCAAATTGGGAGCTGCAAAGCAAGCTACACAGACAGTGTCTACTTTTCAAGACTAAGAATTCATAGTCAGGATTATTACCTAGTAGCAAGGGTAGGCAACCTTTCCCCTTTAAGAGCCGAGGGACTTCAGCTCCCAGAATCCCAGGAGCTATTGGCCAACATGGGACTATTAGCCAACATGGCTGAGGCTTCTGGGAGCTGAAGTCCCTCGACCCTTAAAGGGGAAAGGTTGCCTAGCCCTGACCTAGTAGTCTTGGACAGTGTGTGTGGAGGGGGCAGTGCTTTTGCCTTACCTTTAGAGCCTCATAATAAGTTTTCTCATGCAACTTGACATAACATGGGTCTACATTCAGCACAAACTGAATTCTTTTTATTCATTCAACAAAAACTAATGGGAACCTTTGCAGTTAGGAGGATTGTCTTAAAACCTGTATGTATCTACTGCACATATATACTTAGGCCTGTACAGATCTACTTAGAAATAAGCCCCATTTTGTTCAGTGTGACTGAAGCTCAGGTGAACATTATAGGCCTTCAGCCCTAATATTGTCCATGTGTGAGCATTCATGGTGGGATTTCTGGATGCTTAGCTGTGAAAGGTATGTGGTACATAAAATATAGATAAGTGGATCTAGGTTCAAAAACCTATACAAGACTTAGTATGCAGATTAAATTTGGGACAAAAGGGAACACATCAGGATTCTTGATTGCCTTTCTAGTGATGGCTCAGAACTTGTGATGTTGGCTGCAGAGCCTGGAGTATTGTACTCCAAAGAGTAGCTTTCCCATCCCTTGCTAGTAGTAAAATGTGAGTTTCAGGTGTTTATCTGGGTGCTCTTAAGGAGAAGCCCAAACATGTAGGTAGCTATGTTGTTCCATATCAACAGACCACCTTCAACTGCTTTCAGACTACAAGGAGCAGATCTTTTATACAGTTAATGTGTCACAATTGTTTATTCAAGACCAGACCATCACAAAATACTTTGCTTTGAAGCAGGGATAACTTAAAACAATATATAGTTGCTGGGAAAATCCATCTGTCCTTGCTGCTATGGTGAAGATTGCAGTTAATTTCAGATGGAACAGGAAAAACCTGAGGCAGGTGGCAGGCGATTTAGTTGTCCCTGCTATTCAAAAAGCCCCAAGGGCTCCAACCTCACAAACTCAGGCTGTACTGCAGCAACCCAAGAAAAAGTCCCACCCTTGTTGTGCAATGGACTCCCAGTTTTCCCTTAGCCCCACAAGACAGCTATTGTGTTTGCCTTTGTGAGAGGAATATGACAAAAGCAGCCAATAAAAAGCCAGACCTGGAGCCTCAAAATGTGGGCTGGGAGAAAACAGACCCACCTGCTTGGGAGTTGTTTGACTACATTCCAGGAAAAGCTAAGAAGTCTGGATCCTCCATCAGGTGTCCCATGAAGTCTGATCACTTTATGACTACATAGTTGCTTTCTTCCCAGGAGGTAAATATTTCACTTACATGCTAATTTTGTGTTC